ACGTTTCTACATTTCTTCGTTACTTAATCTTTGCTTATTTATATTTAAGCAAGCAAGTTGTTCAACCAAATGTTGCATGGTGGAATGCAAGTTCAGCGTACTTCATTCCACTTCCTTAATTTTCCATTTTGTCCACACACCATAAGGATGCTCAGTTCTGACTGAGCTGTTCTAGGAGTACTTCCCTTTACATTCCTTTTTCTAAAGAATTGTTGAACTTTGGCCAACACTGCAGTGCCCTGAAGCCCACTGGCACCCCCGTGCTGAGTGGCAGAGGCAGTTTTAGGTAACTCAGCAGTGACACTGGGAGACTGAGGTAATTTGCCTTCCTTTTTGATTCAGAAATCAGCAAGGTTTTATGCAAGTAAATTCTTCTTTTAAAAAGGAACAAATATTGAACTGTTGCAATAGCAGCACAGTAAAACCATCAGCAGCCGTGCAAAACATCAAAGCTGTTAAAGGAGAAAATACATTTAAACAGTCCAAAGCCTTGTTCGCATGGTCTTCAAAGAAATCCAACTTTTATCAAATGGCTTTGGGAAAAAAGCGAGCATTTTGGTACCAGTATTGAAATGAAGCTGTCCTAAATGTGGTTCTTTCTTCCAGATTTCTTTTAAAATTACAAGTCCTTTTTGTGTTTATTGAAGGAAAATGTACAAATTTTGGTCAGTTCTCATTCAGGTTATCTGGCAGGGGTGGGGGTGTCAAAAAAGTCAAGATGGCAACAGCAAGTCCTGCTCCCTTTCGTGACACAGGTTAAAAAGGGCCAAGCTTTGATAATGTCATTGCAGAAGCCACCTTGACCTTTTTGACCCCCTCGCTTTGCCTGTCTGCACTCGGTGAATTAAGTAGCTGCTACAATTTCCAGCACAGATACTTTCTGCCATGACATAGCTGAGAAAGGAGTAGCCTGTTTAAAAAAAAACAAAAACAAACCAAGAATGTGGCAGTCCTAATTCAGTGCTATAAATATGGTTTATTGGTTGACTTTTTTATTTTTAAGAGCTAAGGAACCAAAGCATTCTTCTTGCACCAGTGAATTGGTTAGTTTTGCTTTTTCCTGCCTTTGAACTTTTAAATTCTAAGTGTATGCCATTTGTGAGGAAATTTGAAATTTTTAATAAGTTCTTATTTTAAAACTGAGGGCAAGAGAGTTTTGACCCGTGATAATCTAGTTGCAGAGAGAATTCTTGTGCAAAAGTGGTAACAGAAAATGTCTAGAGCAGTGTTGTCCAAACTTGGCCACTTTAAGATGAGTGGACTTCAAGATGATGATGAATCAAGATGATGATGAGCTGAGAAGGAAAGCAGTGTGGATAGATCCATTCACAGACATTTCTCTTTCCTTTATTTTCATTTCAGGGTTCCCCTGTTGTTGAAAACCCTGCAGAGCCCAAGGTAATGGATCATGGCTAAGTTTGATCATTGGATAGAAATACATCCTGCAAAAAGTGGAAATAGAGAACCTGAGTTTTCTGCAAAACTGCACCTTTTAGCAGAATGCATAAAAAGAAATTTTATAGTTTGGACGTCAGAATCATCCTACCTTTATATGCACAATAAATAAGAATACAAAATATGCCAATTTGTACATTTTGCAGAAACATGTGGAATAGGCTTTATTTTATGGTGTTTGCAATCTACAGATTTCTAAAGATTTTGCTTTAGGAATCTCAGGAAACAGTTTTGAAATTTAGTCCAGAGCTTGATTAATTCCACCAACATGCTGAGTGTTTCACTCATGGGACATATAACAAATAATGTGCCCTTTTGATGCTATATTTTCTTTCAAATCTGTCCTCATCTACCCCGCTCCCCTTCTTTCAAGCCCTTGCATCTTCCCATACATTGTCAACTACAGTCTGTTTCAGAATTACTCTGCTGTCAGTTTCAGGATGATGCTCAGGAGGCGCACACACACATACACCCACACTAAAAAAAACGTCATGTAAACAGAGAAAATCAAGTGATAGTTTTCTATAGGTATTGTGAAATTAACTACAAGGGTTTGAATCTGCTTAGAAAGGATTAAGACCAGATTGTTGATTAGATTGGCTTCTGAAATCAACAGAGAAGTGAACAATTTGGCAAGCAGGACAGCTCTGCTTTCGCAAGGGGTTGGTGTCAGGAAAGACAGACTTCCTTTTTTAGAAAAAAAAAACAAAAGCAAATGCACAGAAGTGGAAGAAAATACTTGAAATCTGCATGTATTCATAGATAGAAAATTGGGCTTAAAAAGATAAGCATGTTATTTTAGATGAAACTTCTATGAAATGGCTTTGGAAAAATGTTATAGTGTCAACAGTGAGGTAAACAGCTTACATTTAGTTGGTTAAACCAGTTGACCTCCCAGGTTCTTCTAAATTCTGTATAATTGTGATTCAGCTTCCTGAGAATCTCAGCATTTATTCACTCCTCCATCCCAAGATATTTTACTCTTAAAATTAGTATTAAAAATTCGTAAGCCAAGTTTGATTAAATAAATCCACAAATGTTCATCTCATTCTCCATCATTTTCTCCCTAGGCTCTAATTTTTGAGAGGCCACATTTTCAGGGCCATAGCTGGGAAATAAGCCGGGATATTTACAACTTAAAGAAGCCAGAAAACAACCAGGATTCTATGATGTCTACTGCCGGTTCTCTGAGAATCATGGGAGGCTGGTGAGCAATTTTGGGTGAATTTCCTGGAGACAACAAGAAGTCCCTGTTCACTGAGTAGGCAGACGTTTGATCCATTAAGTTCAGCACTGTCTATTCTGGCTTTATCCAGCCCTTCAGATGTTTTTGGAGCAACAGTTCGCTCGTACTAGAATTCTAAATAGAGACCTGAAGAGAATTTTTGAAATTAAGCTGAAACCACCAGTTGCTCCTTCCCCTACTTCTTTGTAGCCACTGGAACATTGTCATCCATGTCATTAAAACTTGGTGGCAAAACACTAAGAATGTGTGTCATAATATTCTGCTGCTTTAAGGATTATTTTATTTCTTTGTGACTTAGAGTAGGCTTAAAATGTTAAAATGGCATCATCTATCTAATTATCTAGGACAGTGTTTCTCAACCTTGGCAACTTTAAGATGGGTGGACTTCAATTCCCAGCCAATTCTTAAAGTTGTCTTTAAGTTAATCTTAAAGTTGTCAAGGTTGAGAAACACTGATCTAGGGGGGAAAAAAAGGAAAAACTCAGAAAATTATGCCCAAATTATTGTCTGACATGATTTTCCTCCATTTGTATCACGTTACTCCACCCACAGCAGTTCTGGGAAGCAAAAATATTATTCTCTCCCCAAAAAGGATATAGCTCCTTAGCTAGGCAAAGATGAGCCACTCTGGGCTTTAAAAAGTGGCTTTTTGCTGATTGTTACTACTATTGTTTGTTTCATTACTGTTTGTTGTTGCATCATATTACTGTTTTATTATAATATACAGTGTATAATATACAGTGATCTGTACATCACTGAGAATCCATCCAGATTGATGCGATAGATAATCAGATAAACATAAAAAAGAAAAAAATGATGCAGAAATATTATATCAGGTACAGGACAAAGAACTCACAAAAGTTGTACAAGTGGTACTCAGTATATTGTTGATGAAAAATTAACCATAAAAATACATTAAGTTATTTTTAACAATAAGAAAAAGGATTTTAGAGATCTTTTTCCATCTCTGAGCTGAGTGCCAAACTCTCCACTATTTCTCCACTAAAAAAGATTCCCTTTTCTCCCCATGTTCATTTTCTCTTTTTCTCTTTTTCTCTTTTTCTCTTTTT